TGACGCGATTGAAAAAAAAATTTGTTTCCAATTTGCGCAGTCGCCATTTTGAATTTTCCAAATCTGAAAAAATGTAAATTTTTAGAAGTTTGCCCTCTATGTTTATCTATGTTTTAACCTCGATATTAATATTTTATTTATAATTACCAGCCAAAAATATAATTTTCGAAAATTTTTTCAATTTTTGGAAAATTTAAGATCGGAAAATTTTTTTTTGAAAAAACTATTTACGTCACCTTCAAGAGCATAAGATTTGCTTCAATTTTCATCTCTACGATTTTTTTGTAAGAACACATCCAGACATGACACGAGCATAAATCACTTGAATTTTAGGTGATCTGAGCTGTGCTTGCAAGCTGCGTCGCAAGCTCCAGTGGAAATTATTAGATAATCTAGGAGAGTGATGCTGGGTCAATATATTTTCATTTAAAAATGAAAAATCAGTTATGGGAAAGTTTTGATAGTTAACAGATTTTTCGACCTTACTTTCCCGGACTACCTAGTGACTATTTTTTATTCCCAAACCGAAAAAAATGGCTTGCCGGACAACGATTCATCTCGAACGGGGAGGTCATAACACAAACAAATGGCTATTTTAAGAAACTTTCAAAATTATTTTTTTTTGATGGCTTAAAAAAACTTGAAGGGTGCCTGAAAAACTGTATTGAGCTAAAAGGAGTTTATGTTGAAAAATAAAGAAATCTACTAGAAAAAATTATTTTTCTATCTTTTTCTAAGGACTTATTGGCCCATCCTCGTACTATGAAACGATCCAGTGACTTCTCCGTTAGCCTGCCGCTCAAACACGATCTCTAACACGGATGAAGAGTAGAACACAAAAACTTGGAGTTTTCGAGCAGTGTTAAAACACGAATAATATTATAAACTTATTCTAATACCGGAATGGGGTAATGATAAAATTTCTGAAAAATGAAGTTATAATAAAATTCAATGAAAGTACTGCATGCAGTGTTGTACAAGAAATAATACCAAAAATTCACTTCTAGTGACTTATCCGTTAGTCTGCCGCTCAAACACGATCCCTAAGACGGATGAAGAACGAAGCACCAAAATTTGTAGTTTTCGAGCAATGTCATACACGGTTATCCCAAGTAAGGAATGTAGGCCCTAAGTGAATCCGATATCTGCTAACGTAGATACTTTCTTCATCGTTAGTAGACCAGAAAAATGTAAGATTAAAAATCCTAGCTGATCGATTTGGCAAGTTATAGACACTTGTATGTAAACGTAAATTGTACTTGTATACGTAAGTTGGATATGAATTTTTCTATCACAGACACAAATTCTTCTACCTTTTTTTACCGCAGAAATGACGTCTATCGTTGTGCCATTGACCCAGCGGTATTCCCCGTCCACCAAACCCGAATTTCTTTAACCCTCGATAGGGTCGGGGGTTATAGATTCGCAGGTTAAAGGCTCGAGGGTTGAGGAAATTGGGGTATGAAAGTCGGGGGTTATACCGCAGCAGGTTAAAGGGCTCGAGGGTTGAGGAAATTGGGGTATGAGGGTCGGGGGTTATACCGTAGCAGGTTAAAGGGCTCGAGGGTTAAGGAAATTGGGGTGTGAGGGTCGGGGGTTACAGCGTTGCAGGTTATGGGGCTCTAGGGTTAAGGGAATTGAGATTATAGAGTCATTCGGACGTTAAATTTGGATTCAGTGATCCAAAAAACATATAATTACACTATAACTCCTTATTCAGAAATTCGCCACTATTTCGTGCTGTAACGAAATCGCTAAATCACTCAAATTCAATCTACGATATCTCGATGGAAAAAAAAGATTTTTTAAATCTGAGAAAAGGGTTTTGAAGGGTAAGAGTAGTACTTTGAGATAGCATTACTCGTTTTTTAAAATAAAATTGGCTTACGACGTAATACTACGCGAAATATAATGAAAAATCGTGTTTTTTGAGCATTTAGGTTAGGATTTCTCGAAAACCTAGGGTGATGGAGCAATTCTGAGGTCAGATTCGGTTTCAGCGCACCAAAAACGTTTGGGAACGTACTGTCTGGTTTCTGGGTTTTTCCATTTTTTAAATTTTGTCGGCCTGCGTTATTATTCAAAAACGGTTTGTTAATTTGGTGGTTTTTATTTTGAATAATGTTCCGCTTATTACGAGTGAGTTTTTGATGTAAAAATTTTCCATAAATTTATTGTAAATGTCGCGTTATTCATTTATCTAATTTTAATCACTTTAAGAAGCGGTTTTTCCTTTAAAAGCGATTTACACTAAAAAATTCGACTTGATGTTTTAAGTCACTAATTTTTAATTTCAAGTGAGCAATTTGCGACAAAATCTGTGCAAAATTTATACGAACATCAAAAATAACATCGTAGGGACTACCAAGCGTAAAAAGGAGTCGTTTTCGCAAGTATAAATTCGCTGGTCGTTGCGGTAAGAGGACTTACAATCCTGCCTTGTTTAGCAGAGCGAGCACTATTTGAAATAAAGACTCAGCTATTTCCTGAGATCAAATTTCATTATTCAGTGGTTAGCCTGTTATTCTTTTCCTATATAATAATCTAAGCGTTCAACTCATAAGACTTTCTCTCGTATGAAAAAAAGCAGCATTAGACTATCTCCTCTTTCAAAATTAATATTGCCTAGAAATTGAACTAAGTATCGTTACAGGGCTGTCGGTCATTTCCTCGATAGATGCAACAGTACTTACAAGTTAGTTTATTTATTTTATTTATTTATCTTTATTTTTTTATTTATTTTTGTTAGTTGTATTTCATGCCCATCGAAGCAGCGAACTACGTGGATAACACTATGTTCGCTATTCGATGGTCGTAACAATATCAAAACACAAAGTACTTTTACGTGTCAACTTCTTGCTTACTCTCGGAAACGCGATTATCAATACATCTTAGAGTCCGAACTATTTATTTAGATAACATAGGATAAGGATCAAACGTTACAGTAGTAATTTTGCGTTTGGATGGGCTAAGAGTTTTGATCGGGAGAGTATGTTGTTTTCGAAATAATTAAATATCCAGATCCCTTATTATCGTAAGGAAAACGTGACGTAGATTGTGATTCAATATCTTATTAATATTTCAAATTGAATTATTTCATAGACAAAGTAAATAATATCACCAAATGGAGAAAATTATAATTCTAGAAAATGATTATACGAGGTGTGTTCAAAAAGTAAGGTGACTTTGTATTTTTAAGAAAAAATATTTATATATTTATCAATATTTATGTTGTCCCCTTCAAAGTAATCCCCCTCAGATACAATACACTTATGCCAACGGTTTTTCCAATCCTCTTTCCAAAGCACTTCTCATAAGCACTTTTCAGTATAGCCTTGAGCTCTTCCAGCGATGCAGTCTTTATCTCTTCAATCGTTACAAATCTCCGTCCTTTTATAGGTCTCTTTAGTTTTGGGAACAAAAAAAAGTCACATGGGGCTAAATCCGGTGAATATGGTGGCTGAGGCATGATTGTGGTGTTGTTTTTGGCCAAAAAATCTCTCACAAGCAAAGATGAGCGAGGAGGGGCATTATCGTGATGCAAAAGCCATGAATTGTTTTTTCACAATTCTGGGCGTTTTCTTCGTATTGCTTCTCGCAAACAGCGCATAACTTCAAGATAATACTGTTTATTGACCGTACGTCCATATGGTAAGAACTCCTGATGCACCACGCCATGGTAATCGAAGAAAACAGTGAGCAAAACTTTGACATTTGATCGAACTTGGCATGCTTTTTTCGGTCTTGGCTCATCTGGGCTCTTCCATTGGGACGATTGGAATTTGGTTTCGATATCATTACCATATACCCACGATTCATCACCAGATATGACCCTGTTGAATAAATCTGGGTCGTCGTTGACGTCATTCAACAGTTCTTAAGCGATGCTCATGCGACGGTTCTTATGGTCAAAATTTAGCAATTTCGGAACAAACTTCGCTGACATACGTCTCATGCCCAAAACGTTAGAAAAAAATTGATGGCACGAGCCAAGCGATATACCAACATCCTCAGCAACTTCTCTGATAGTGATTCGACAATTTTCCAGAACAATTTTCTTCACTGCTTGAACGTTTTCATCAGTTATTGATGTGCTGGGGCGTCCAGAACGAGGTTCGTCGTCGGTGTCTTCCCGGCCATCTTGGAATAGTTTGTACCACTTGTAAACATTTTTTTTATTCAGAACAGTTTCACCGTATGCCACCGTCAACATTTCAAGTGTTTCGGAGCACTTTATTTTATTTTTTACACAAAATTTTATGCTAATTCTTTGATCCATATTTTTCGATAGCAAGAAATCGCCGAGCACGCAAAACACTTATAACCTTTACGCCTCTCACAACCAAACAAAAAATGCTATACACTTGAAACTTGGTACATATGTTCGGGAAGAGTGTACCAATATAACAAAACAAAAAAATCGATAATCGAAAGTACGTTGCCCGTGAAATTTGAAAAGTCACCTTACTTTTTGAACACACCTCGTATTCATCTGTCTATTGACAAACATTTGAAGAAATGACATGGTTTATAATTCTTTATTAACTTATTTTTCTATATTACAGACATAAACTGTGCAAGTTAAAGTACAAATTTGAGTTTTACTATTTCTCAAATCTTTGTACTGGATTCACATTTAAAAAAATATTCCTATTCTATTGATTCTCACAATGTTTAATGGCAACTAAATGAAGATTTATTGCTAATAATGAAAATAGTAAGAAAATTACTACTAAATTTTTGTTTAATAATAAATCAACCTATAATACATTCATTTCTAAAAATAACATGCACAACTATTTTGATAAAATTGTACACGTATTCTCAAAATAAAAACTTGTTGAATTTAATGTTTAAAGCTTTTAGCATGAGATGAACTGTTCTACCTAATGGTAATATTCTATATGTTTTATTTAATAGAATTTTTGATATTATAGTCACATAATGCACATATATAACCCTTATAAAATGATCATAGGTAGCTATGGCACATAACTAACCTCAACACTTGGTTTCAATAATCTTAAAGCTGCTTGTGATGCGTAATAAGCAGCTAGAATAACATCTGCCTTCCGTCCAGTAATTTGTTGATCATCGTGAATTGTAACAACTAAAGTGTGAGCTACAACTGCTATAAAACCATCCAGATGCGCACCAAGGTCACTGAAATAATTTTCCGAAAATATTAAAAAACTGAAATTTTATCCACTTATATCAGTTAATTTAATAATAATCATTATTGTTTAACTTTGGCGATATATACATATGGGACCTTCAAGTCAACCGGATCACCTTTGCAACCAAAAATTTTCGTAACCGATTAAAACGTTTGATGGCTCATCTTTAAGCCTAGGATGTCTCTATTCTAATACCGTGTGCGTCTTTATGAAATCCAGTATGGTATCCAATTTTTATAAAAAAAAATTTTAAACAATGCATATAAAATTTTTATCCTTTACTTAAAGTGCTATATATGCTATCCAATGAATGGTGACCTTAATTCGATACTGTTATTAAAATGTAGCTATATCATAACATTTCTTTTCTAACCTCAAAAAACTAGTAAAATCGTTAAAATTTGCTAAAATCAACGAGAAAAAGAACAGAATTCTTTATCTTGTGTATCCATCTTTTTTTTTATATTGAGAGAAATCCAACAAAAGCTAGTCCACCTCCATAATGTAGGAAATACAATTCTGCTATTTCTAACCTCATAAAAATGGATCTCAAGTTTAACCATTTCACAGACCGAAGAGTTACAGCTATGGGATAGGAATACTAACTTCACTGTATAGGACCCCGACTACCTCTGAATCAGAATCCCGGTTAAATTTTCAAAATTTTGCAAATAAAAACATTTCGAAAATTGTAAGATTTTTGAAATCCAAAAATACAGTGATATTTTAAGTAAAAAACCAAACATAAACTATTCCTGGTGATTTTTTAATTAGCTGTGTTGTTTTCGAGTAAAAAAGTGCAAAGTTTTGAAAAATAAATATGTACATGTCGTATAATTCTAAACAATTTTTAATTTTTTTACTTTGACACAACACAGGCACTCAAAAAATCACCAAAAATAGTTTATATTTAGTTTTTTACATAAAATATAGTATTTTATATTTTCCAAAATATTACAATTTTTGAAATGTCTCCCGCCATATTGAGTTCGCCATCTTGATTTTTGATAATCTAACAACGAATTCTGATTCAGCAATAATCGGGGTCCAATACAGTGAATTCAGTATTTCTATTCCATAGCTGTAACTCTTCAGTCTGTGAAAGGAGTAAACTTAAAAACAATTTTTATAAGGTTAGAAATAGCAGTGTCGTATTGCTTATATTATGGAGGTGGACTTATTTGTATCCGATTTCGATCAATATAAAAAAGAGATGGATAAGAAAGATAAAAAATTCTGTTCTTTTTTTCGTAGATTTTAATACATTTTTAACGATGTTACCAGTTTTTTGAGATTAGGATAGAAATGTGATGAGATAGCTACATTTTAATAACAGTATCGAATTAAGGTTACCATTCATTGGATAGCATATATAGCACTTCAAGTAAAGGATAAAAATTTTATATGCATTGTTTAAAATTTTTTTTTATAAAATTTGGATACCATACTGGATTTCATAAAGGCGGACACGGTATTAGAAAAGAGGCATCCTAAACTTCAAGATGAGTCATCAAACATTTAATCGGTTGCGTAAATTTTTAATCGCAAAGGTGATCCAGTTGCCGTGGAAATTCATATATATATATATATTTATATATCACTCAAACCCATACATACACCCACACATATATTTCCCTCTATATTTAATAAATTAAAAACTTGTGAGGGCTATCTACGTGTCATGTACGTGTTGATTGTAAACTTTGATTCCAAGATCATTTGAAGAACAAAGTATTTTTTTCAAATAAGAATTCCTAAATTTAACATCGGATTCGAAAAGACTGGGAAATTACGATCGAAACAAAATTAAGAAGATCGGATACCAAGGTCAAATTAAGGTCGAAATTCGAAGAAACATATCAATGTACTTAAGTGATTATTTAATTTCGAATTCTTCACTTGCATTACGTCCAGTTAATTGAATTTAACTTTTGAACTTTTTTTCTTTCATTCAAGTTTTCATCTAAATTCATGTTACTAACTAATTTTTTGCATTTCAACTTTGGTAATTTTAGTACAATATGATTTGTTACAAAATTCAAAGTCATTAGAAAGTTGAACATCCAATTTAAAGTGATTCATCTGAGTAACTGCTCTTAAAAGGTCGAAATCAAAAATTATTTTGAGAGTTAGATGTTAAGAGTTAGATTTTAAGAGAGTACTGGGGGATAGTAACTGCGAATTTTACCTTGACTTAAGTTACATTTTGTTTTTTTATTTCAAATTACACGTGTAAAGTAGCACCCTTGAATAAAATAAAGTTTCCATCAAAAGCTACAAGGTATCAAGTCGGTTTCTGAAAATATAATATATTTTTTTCATTACTATATATAATTTTTCGAGGAATACATTTTAAACAATGTCCAACGGCGGAAGCAAAAGATTTTTAGGGACGAGATTAAAAGAACATGAGAACATCGCAAATGACATTATATCATCGCTTACGTACAAGAATGGCTTTTTACATGACTTTGATTAGAATAACGCCGAAATATTAAATTACGAATGTAATTACAAAAAACACAAAAATATCCAAAAAGTTACACATTCGTAACGGAAAATCTCGGCTAGGCCGATTTCGTCCGTCTAGCTCTCGAAAATGCCCGTGCGCCGCGCCCACCTGAAAGTGTGTGCGTGTGGTACACATACTCGTGCTTGAATTTTTGTTTACGAGGTGCTGTACACGGGCCTAGCTGACGACTGGAGCGATGGAGATGGCACAGAAGAAGAAGAAGAGAGAGAAAGAGAGAGAGAGAGCGCTCGAATTACGGATCGCCGCGGAAAATTCGGGAGAGTCTCTGCTAGGCTGTGAACAGAGGAAGTCGCGCGCACGGATCAAACCGAAAGTCACGGTTTTTCGAAGTTGGGCCCGCGACCTCGTCGACGACTGTTCGTTTTCGAAGACACGCCCGGTGCACGGACGAGTATTAGAGTGTGAGGCTGGGTCGCACCCAGCCGTGTCCCGAAGGATACCCGGCACCGGTGCGTGTGGGTAACCGGCGAGGTGCGCGGGTGCACGCGCGAGTAGTTTTGACGTTGCTGCAATACCGAACAACAGAGAGGCGCAGAAACAACGATAACAGCAATTATCGGGTGAAACAACGGATTGAGGCAGTACTGTGGAGCGAGCGAGAGGACGAGCAAGAAGATAGACAGCTACGACAACAAACATCAGCAAGACGGTCAGCGAGGAGCACACCAGTAACGTCGCACGGCGGAGCACTCTAGCCGTCAGAGAGGCTGAAGGTCGAGGTCGGTGCCGTGTTTTTCTCATGTCTCTCTCTCTCTCTCTCTTGCGTGTTTGGGCGCCAGCTTATGGGTGGTAACACGGCAGATCTGCTGGCTACCCGTTGATAGTTTAACTGCGGAAAGTGTTTTGTCGGGCATTTACTGTAACATTTTGTTTTAGACAGGGAATCGGCAGTCTGATCAGCCACCGATTCACCTTCGCGTTCGGATTTATTATTGTGTCGCTCGTAGTGTATAAGTGCGAGATCGCCGTATTGTAGCCTATTGTTGACGATTAAAGGATTAGTGTGTTAATCCGTTGTTGTGTTTATTCGCCGCTATATCACTCCTCATCCTGACTTCGAATCTGTGCGTTTAACGTGTTTATGCTTGACGCGTTATTCAGTCGTGGGAACTTCGTTTAATTCCCGAATCCCCGAATAAATAGTTTGTGCGGACGGCCGCGAGCAATCCAGACGGGAACGGTCGCTAATTCTTAGTTACACATTGATCAATTGAATAATAGCCTAAACAAAAAAGAAAATATGACATTTTTTAATTATATTATAACGAAGAAATATGACGGACAACTCAGAGGGTTATACTCACGGCCGTCTGCACAAATTATTAAAAAAAGGATGGATTTAAGGAGCGAATGCTCTGACGGTTGAATAATATCCCATAGCGTATATATTAATCGTACGCGAAACTAACGCTAAGACAGAGAAAGAGAAGTAATTGAGAGAGGATTAGAATAAGAGAAAGCAAAAATAAAGGCGTAGACTCGTTAATTTCAAATCTTAATTTTATATTCTATGCATAAACTTAACCTACTGTACAATGAAAGCCCGACAATCAGTCAGCTCATTCCCTGGTGGGATATTACTACGGCAACGAGGCGAGTACTGGCACAGAGAACCGCGGCAATAGTTGGCGAAAGAATGCCTTACTATTGCGGCATCTGGATACAGGTGAGGACGACCGCCACGTCTGAGAGAGAGAGAGAGAGAGAAAACTCTAGAAGGGCACTTGATCTTAGTTACGCAGCAGGACTCCTTGATGAGCGGAAAGCGGCAGGCCTTTCCTTGAAGGCGCGTCGCCTTCCCGGGGAGCAGCTTCCTCTTGGACTTCTCCTTGTCCTTCGTTGTCTTCTTCTTCTTCTTCTCACCTCTCGTGCTTGACTCTGCTTATGACGACTTCCCTGACTGACTCTCCAACCTGACGGATTGTCCTTGCTCTCGCTCGATCACTGACTTCTAACTTTTCAACACCTCGTACTTAACTGTTCCTTCGTACCACTCTCCCTTAACTACCGCTAAACTCTTTCTTCTCTCTACGCTCGACGCATCCCCTCTCGGCTTATTTTCATGGCGGCACGTGAGGCCGCTAATCAGTCGTGCGTCTGCCGTGAACCATTGAGCAATACTGGCACTTGGTCCCTTAACTCTCGCTATCTTTCTTCGGTTTCTCCTTTTCTTGCTCGTTGTCACCCTCATTAACCCCTCTTTGGGCTTGTCGATCATTATTGGTCGCTGCAAAAAAAAACAAATCGCATTCTTCAAATGCGCCTAACATTGGTTAGGTCAGCTGAGAGTAGAGGAAGAGGAGGGAGCGCCGCACGATAAAACGCCATCACCTGCTTCCGTCACAGTTTAAATCTGAAAGTTATCGAAAATGATCCTCGTGGTGGAAAGTATCTTGTATATTAGTGTGTTGTTTACAGCAAAATGGACGAAATTCTAAACATGCATTCAGGTA